TCGGTTTTGGGTTTATCGCTGTTGTAGGAACGTAGCATCAATCCTTGAAAGGTGTTATAGAAGCTGTTGTGTTATTTGCATATATTAGACTGTTTTTAAACGTTGTCAACTCATTTAGAAAAGAATGACCTACACTACTGTTACTTTAATGGAAGCTCATACTGTAAACGTTAGCACGTCCTCGGGTCGTGTCTATATAGCAAATTGTGTGTTTCAAAATCTCCCTAACAGCTGCAGGTGTGTTGGTACTCAAACGTCTTTTTGTTATACTGGTAGGCATGCCGACACGATACTGAAAACGAAATGTTTGTGTTCATAATCTATAACATGTCCACTGTTACATGTTGAATCAACTATTTGCCAGTTGATAACGAATTTGTGAAGATTGTTACCACAGGATGCCCGGTTTAACAATTTGCTCTGCTAACGTAGTGTCTTTACATGTATGTGCTTAATAAACACTTTTTTCAATGTAAAAGTTACAGTTGGAAATTGACATATGTGTTCGTTGATATGTGTCTGTATTATTATGCCATAGAAGAATTTGTAGAAATTTCTGGTTTTGATTTGTTTTCTCGTCTTACCATCCAAAATGTGTGGAGCAACGGTGCTGAGGTATAATGTTTGACAAGTGATTGGGCTTATATGATTCCTAACAAGTTTCTTGTATGTAAGAGGTATAGCATGAAAGAGTGTTATATATATATTCAATGATACCATTTGGTCTTGTGTTAAGTGTGAGTTGGGTGTAGTGTTTTAGGGACAAGAACTTGCCAAAGGGGAAATGGTCTTTCATAAATGTTTTGCCTTCTTTAATTTAAGTTGAAAAGAAGACACAGTGTTACATAGCCGTTGCACCAAAGACTTCCCGCATTATTTCATAAACATTAGAGGGATTGTTTTCCTCACCTTCACTAGCAGAGTGGAAGGATATTATTACCTGATTGAAAAGTCGTTTACACATGTCTGGTCCATCCTTTTCACATGAGGGATTCCTATCAAGTAACAGATTTTCAGGACCAAAGCTTTTATCTATGTCAGTGCAATTGTTTTCGATTTGTCATTGTTATTTGTATATAATCATTGTGCCCAAAATGCCAGTAGCGATTGTTTCTGATATTCTAGATTTGTCAGGCCTAGACCACCAAATTTAATAGGTTGAGTAGTAACATTTCATTTAATGTTTTCCCTTTTCGTTTCCACGAAATGTAAACATTTGTGTCTTTAACCCAAGATGCGGTAACAATCATTGACAGGTTGTAGGCCAAAGGTCACTATTTCCCGCAGGCGCAGAATGTTCATACTAAGTCCAGTTTGATGAGCGCATCCAAACAAACTAAAAACATCCGTTTTTGTATGTGTGGCATTTTGTGGCATTTTGTGGCAAATGCTGACATTTTCCAGCTGGAAAGTTTTTGCTCTTTCTGTTTTGTTAAAAAAAAACGGCATTTGGTGTTGTTTTGACTGATTGGTAGAGCTCTAAAACTAATCCCATCTTCTTGTGTTTTGGTGGTCTTCAAAGGGGTCAGAGGTCATTATGTCAATGTTTACATTTTTCGTACTATATTTCGCTGGTCAAAAAGTGAACTTTTTTAAACTAAATGGACAATTTGGAGGTTGGATTACCCTGTCAATGTGACTGTTTCACAGTAACCACACTCAGGCAGGTGGCTTTGTTTTGTTTACTTAACATTAGAATTTCTGTTGTTAGAAATTCTATGTAGTTGACGTTTAATATCGTGTAAGGGCTTGTAATCTTGTTCGTGAACATAGATTTATAGCAAATTTCGTCAACATTCTTCTAACTTTAAAGGTTTAGAGTCCAGAATAAGAGACATAGTAGTCTACAAGTAAGGATGTCCTCTATGCAAGGTCAGGTGCTGTTCACTAATAAGTTATACGTGTGGGATTTCATATGAACACTTAGTCAACTGATCGGTTTTGTGTTTATTGATGTTATACAAACGTAGCATCGATCTTTTAAAGGTTTTAAAAACTTTTAACTGTCGTGTTACTTGCATATATTAGACTGGTTTTAAACGTTGTCACCTTATTCAGAAGACTGACCTTCATTAGCGTTACTTCAATGGAGACTTGCATTGTGAATCCAAGCATGTCCTCGGGCCATGTCTATACATCAGGTTGTTTATGTCGAGTCCCACAATCTTCAAAACAACTGCAGGAGTTAAAATGTTTTGGTACTCAAACTTTGCTGGTTGACTAGTTGGCACAATCCTTGAGTGTTCGTAGGTCTCTATCCGTCTTTTGGGGATTAACTGGATCACGCCTCACCTCAGTTCGCCTTTTCTAGTGACTTAATTTGCGGTCTTATTCTAGGTATTGTCAGGAGTGCTCATAAATTTCTGTTGTTAACCTAAGCCTTTTTGGAGATTTATATATTTTTAGTTGTGGCAGAGCAATATTAAGTTCCTCTTTAAGGATTTTCCCCGTACACTTATATTTTCTGTGTCAGACAATTTTGGTGTTTTCGCACTAAAGAAAGGTATGGAATGTACTTTTTTTTGATCGGATGATGCGCACATGTTTCTAGAGTATTCAGCCTGTAACGAAATTTGCTTTGCATTTGCAATGTAATAATTATATCATCTTCTTTTATATTTGAAGATTGATATCAATAACCGAAAGTTTTATTGTGGTTGGGATGTCTGCGAATCTGGTTTATGATATTATCAATATCAAATCAAATACATGTTGCCCGTTTGCCTTTTTTTGACAAAAATTCCTGTATATGCAGGACTCTTTTTTTTCGTAGTTTCCTTTTTTTAATTTCTATAGATAATTTCTAAATATGGGAATATTCTATCCTTTATTGATCAATCTTAACAACGGATAAAATTGTAAGAATAAAAAAAGTCTGGGTTGCGTTACAGCCGGATACAGAATTGAGTCACAGCTTTTACTTCTTTCATCAGATTCATTCCGTCTAGCTTAGACGCCTGTATTCAAAATTCTTCTCATCTTCTACCGCTTTACGTCTTGACGGAATGCGTGCATGTTTGTCTGTGAAATAGACGGAAAGCATTGTTCTTTTCTGACCTTCAAGAAGAGATGGGGTAGAAGCAACATGGTGATAATGAGGAAATCTTAGTGTCCTATTTATTTTCGTTTATTGAATAAAAAAGAATATGCCACTTACTTTTTTCTCAATTCCATTTTTAATACTTTTCCTCTTTATTAATGTGACCAGGTCTCCAGATAAGCACAAAATTAATTACAGATATTACATTTCCACAAAATGTTTTAACCCTTTTGAGAAAGTGATATATTATTTAACAGCAGAGAATAGTTTTCTTAGATATTTTTTAAATTAGAAATTACTGATCAGAAATGATATTAATCATTAACACGGGATATTTCTGTCATAAACAGTTTTTATCTGTTGTTCCTACTGCTGTTGGAGCATCTATAATCTACAAAAATAAATGGAATAAAACCCAGTTGTATTGTTCCAAGAAAAATTGGAAAGTTCCACTAAGTCTGTTCAACACTTTTTTTTTACACAGGAGATTTGTAGTGATTGATGTCAGCTGTAGCAACGTCTGTGTGTCCTCTACTAAAACCTTTAATGTATTTTAATAACTTAAAAAACTCATGAAAATCATTGACTGTCTAATCACCAGAAACAAAAGTATAAACAGAGATTATCATAACAGATTTTACGTCTACCATTTCTAACATTCTAATCAATCTGGTTTGGTTAGCACCTTATTGTGTTATAGTTTATGTATAAATAAAATCAGCTGATTAGTTTCCTTCTAAAATAACTTTATTGGTTTTACCTTAATGAAATAAAGAATAGAGCTTGAGATCCGACATAAATCGGCTCGACATTAATTCATTCAGACTTCTCGGTACCATGCCTCCCTACATATCAATGACAACCTTTTATTGACGATTTTGCGCTTTCCTACAATTTAATCTAAAGAAAGGTGAAAAACTCACCTTGAAAATGGCCTAGGGTATGTCAAAGATTTTGACAGCACAAAAAACGGAAAACAGCCTGTAACTATTTTGCAAACAATGATACCATTTTTGTCCAACCATAAAAGAACACGCCCGTTCTTCTGCTTAAAAAGTTCTATCTAACTATTTTTGCAAACTACGTGGTTACAACGCTGCCCATGCATAGCCTGTCCATAAACTGTAACGGTTCTATACATGATAATGATACGTGGTTATTGTCTAATAACATAACACAACATAACATAACATAACAGTAACAGGTTTAAAACAAACGCAATATTCTACGTGAGAGTCCCCACAGGTTAAATCTGGGTCACACGTGTCTGAATAAGACCGCCATTGTGGTGATTCATCAATGCACATTGACAGCTGGCGAATGGGTCCGTCAGCTACAGAGGGCTTTACTGCATTACGGACTGCAAAAGACGGTTTATTATATTAAGATTATGGAATATCCTGGGTCTTCATAGTGAGACACCTTAAGCCTCAGTTACACACGAAGGTGGTCTCCCCACTCACCACCCCCATTATCGTAAGCAGCGGGGCGCAACAAATATGGCTGGGTTGGCTGGTACCTCTGCTAGCAGGCCAAATGTTTCAAACATTCCGCGGTCGGTGGGAGGTTTGACCATGGTTGGCAGGTCAGTTGTCGGCTGTAAGTTGACAGAACAACAGCCAGCCATTCGGGACTGTCGGCAGTGTTTGGAGTGTGTTCGGGGATCACATGTGACTCAAATTTAACTTCAAAATAATGTATAGTACACTGCGACTTGGACTAACGAATTATGTGAATAAAGTTATGCATTTCTAGTGTACAATGAACAATCGTTACTCCCTTTTTTGATTACAACATTGCCACTATGTTTCTGTGTGAATATATAATTGATAGTAAAAATATACAACTCACATTCCTTTTTCTAGTGAGCCAATATATGAAAAAAAAACTGTATGGACGGTAGCTTTGAGCCAATATATGGCAAACAAAAACATTGTTTATGGACAGTAGCTGGTTGCACCAAATCTACAAAGGTATTCATTACATGGTCCAGATAAAACGTTGCCCTGATGGGAAGACGATATCCATCCAGCCGCATGTTGACTCTTGACACCTGTAGGCATAAGGAAATAGTGGAAAAAAATCAGTAAAAGGTTCTGTTCTGTTACCACATAACTATTGCCTATTAAACATTTTACAATGTTCCATACATCTCAGCTTTTTTAATAGCTCTGCAAAAGACATAATCTTTGTTACAAGTTTAATTTTATGGTAGTAAAAATATCAAATAATCTGGAGGCTTCTTTCATATTTAGGTGCACCGAATATGTGTCACAAGAGTAACTGAGTATGTCTGAGTAACTGTTTTTGGCGTATGTTATGCCCAACCTTCACCGACGTATTTTACGTTTTAGCGTACTCCATAGTGTCAGGAATATACCGTATATTAATGACTATTTATCTTTTTTTATACATGCAGTTTTGTCCGGATGTATTTACTTCATCAAACGTAGTTCGAATCTATTTGCTAATATTTTGCTTACAAGCCCATAGTCAGCATTTTAGAATGTGATAGGACGGCAGTTTTCAAGTTTTCTAAATCGATGTCCTTTTTATGGATAAAATGGATCACGGCTCGCTGCTGTGAAATTGGTAATTCGTCTTTTCTAATGATAACGGATAACAGGGGTCTTTTTCTAGGTACTGCCAGAAATTAACATACAATTCTGTTGTTAAACCATCGCTTACTGAGGATTTTTCAGATGTTGTAGAGCAATATTGATTTCCTCTTTGAAAATTTCCTCTTCCCACCTATTTTTTGTGTGTCAGACAATTTTGGCAAGGTTCTTCATTGTAAAAAATGGAATGCACCTTATTTTGATCACGATCAGACGATACGAAAACATTTTGATACAAATGTAGTATTCAGCTCTAAACAGACTTTTCATTTGTAAAATTGTATCGTATTTTTTATATTGTTAACCTAATTTTTTTCGGGTTGGGGGTGCTGTCTGTGAATCTGGTTTATGATTTTTATGTTTTTTGCCCTTTCCCATTTTCGATGACAAGTTTTGTAAGTACAGGGCTCTTTTCAATTTTTCTTAAATAGAATGTCTAAATATGGGATCATTCCAACCATTATCGATCTATCTTAAAAGGAGATAAAAATGTAAGTTTGAGTTCCGTTCATCACATTTCCGCTCGTATTCGTCTTATCTTCTACTGCTTTTTTTTCGTCTTAACGGAATACTAGTACTACTCTAGCGACGTACACCCTAGTGACGTCTGTAAACATACACAGAAAACACTGATCTTTTCTGACCTTGCGGACATGACAAGAAACAACACAGTGTTCATGAAGAAAATCTTAGTCTCCTTTTTACTGTCTATTGAAGAAAAACAAAAATATGCCGCTTACTTTCTTAATGCCATTTTTGAAATATTTCCCCGTTATTAATGTAACTAAATTTCCAGCTATGCACGGAAAGTACAGATTCAATGTATTGCCTTTCCATAAAATGGTTTACACTTTTTTATATATTCAGAAGTATGATATATTATTTTACAGTAGAGAATAGTTTTCTGATATATTCTTTAATTCTATATCTATAGATTAATATATATTTGAACCAAATAGGGGTAACGGAGAGACACACACATATACCTTCCCTGAAAAGTGTAGTTTGTTACAATGTATTTTTAGAACGATAATGTACACTGTAGGGAGATAAGCCTGAATCATGCCGGCGGACCCTGCTTTACTGTTGTTACATTTTGAATGATGTATAATGCCGAGGATAAGAAACAGAACCGTTTTTAGAAGCCTATTTCGCCTACTGGGACGACATCGTGGTCGTGTGGTATTTAGACTGACATGTTATCGACAATGTACGAAGCCACTCCTCCGCATTTACCGTGTTGACTGTCCTTTTGAAAAGTGTATGACCATTAATCAATAAACGTCGGTCCGTGCTGATATCCATGTATAAGTAATGCAAGCTAGCTGTAAAGAACGTCAATTTAGGGTAATGGTGACCATCTAGCTAGCTTTTTGCTGACAAGCGAAGAAAACTTGGGCACGAGTAAGCTACATGTAGGAATATCCCTGGTATCCTGTTGTACTGTCTTAGCATGTCCGGCCTATAGTGACGTGACCTACCCTATTCCTAGTAATAGCGTTACCGGTTAGTAGTAAACACACCTGTATCTGCAACTACATGCTTCTGTTTTCTGACAAAACAAATCATACGGTTCTTAGTG